ATCCATCCTATCTTCTACCCCGGCTTGTAGACAGCCGACCTCCAAGTTCCTCACTTTCAGTTTGTACATCCTATTATTCTCAATCTGAACTCGGGCCATCAACCGCCCTTGCTTATCTTTCAACAGTAGAACTCGGTCTGTCATTAGAACCGAGTAGCCCTTTTCCATCAACTGTCCAATGCTCAGAATATTGCTTTTGAGCTCAGGCACGTAATACACGTCCTGAATTGTACCAACTCGTCCGTCTTTTTGTAGAAAACAGACCGTACCACAGCCTTTTACATCAATTTTGGACGCGTCTCCGAAAGGGACATGTCTGGCTTCCACCGTCCTCAATTCTTTGAACAAATGTTTGTAACCACACATGTGATTACTGGCACTGGTATCCAAATACCACTCCGTCTCACTCTTCGAACTCGTCTCACCTTGTGCCAACATCAGAACTCCTTCATCTCTTATCTCTCCTTCTGCAGCAAAATTTGACGTCCCGTCAACTCTCCTTTCATCTCGGCAATCCTTCGCGAAATGTCCAACTCGGCCACAGTTGTAGCATCTGTCCGAGTTGCAGTCCTTTGAAAAATGGCCATACTTGCCACACTTATAACACTCTACATTACTTTGATTTGACCACCGGCCTCTTCCACCTCGGCCACGTCCTCTTCCTCTCCAGTTTTGCTGACTTGGCTCAACTCTTTCTTCATTTTTCACCTCATGACCTCGGCCACGACCACCTCGGCCATTTCCACGTCCAGCTCGTCCACGACCTCTACCTCGGACATTCTGAGTGTAGAGCGCCTTCTCATCCTTAATGGTTGCTTTTGTCTGGAGTGCTTGCTCCAGCGACTCCTCCTTTTTCTTCTTCTTGCGTTGCTCATGCGCCTCAAGGGAACCTGCTAGCTCGTCAACAGAGAGCGTAGACAAGTCCTTGGACTCCTTGATTGCACACACTACGTTCTCGAAGTCGTCTGTCAACGACCTCAGAATTTTTTCTACTACTCTGGAGTCGGCCAACGTCTCTCCATTCCTCTTCAACTGGTTCACAACGGTCTGAACCCGGGTGATGAAATCCGACACTCCTTCGATCTCCTTCATTTTCATCCCCTCCAACTCTCCTCGAAGAGTTTGAAGCCTGACCTGCTTCACACGGTCAGCACCTCGGTAGACCGTCTCCAATATGTTCCAGGCCTCCTTAGCCGTTGTTGCACCTCCAATTTTCTCAATACCACCGCACTCTTCAACAGCTTGAAGCATCATAAACAGTGCTGCTGCATCCTTCGATTTTGACAAACTCAACTGCTTGAGTTGGTTTGCTGAGTATCCTTCTGTTGTTTCAGGTTCTTCGAACCCATTTTGCACCAAATTCCAACTATCACATGCTCTTAGGAGAGCCTTCATTTGGATGCTCCAATTCTCATAGTTTCCCTTTTTCAGGCGGGGCACTGGCAGACCAGTAGTCACACCTTCCATTGATATCAAGCTCTGATACCAATTTGTAATTCACAGGTCCTCTTCTGGTGTTTCTCTCAAACACTTAACCACACAAGCAATTCTCTGAATATACCTCTTTGTATTATTGATTCTGCCAAGTGCTACTTTACAAGAGTTACAATGTGCTTTTTATAAGCAACAACAAATGATTAAGAATAATAACGACTATCATAGAAAATCTAAACATATTAATTATCCATTAACATATGCCTAGGGACACACCATAAAACAACACCCTTCATATTTCTATTTTCTTTTATTTAAATTAAAGATTAACCTAACAAGTTGTAATAATTAAAAAGCTTATAATAAAAATTAATGACAACTTCTTTATTAGGTACTTTGTTTATTTATATTTAAATGATGGAATGAATGAAGGAGAAAGTGCGATAGACATATGCTGGAAGTCTGATACCTCTCTAGTCCCTAGTCTCTCCCGCTCCTATACTTGATGCTGCTTTTCTTCTGCGTGTCTGCTTCTGATGCCATAGCTACTGCTACTGCTGCATCCCATAGCTATATGCATAGACCATATGGTATGAAGAGTTGAGAACGATGGATGAAGAGACAAAACAAAGATGGTAATAAATTACGGATCTAACCTGTCACAATAGAAGAGAATTGGGAATCAGAATTCAGAAGCGATTACGATTACGATTACGAATATATGTGTTTATCAAAAACTGAAATTAACTCAATTCGGGATTGGGTACCCACCTTTTGTTCCTTCTAGACTCACCCCACGCCTTTTCCTTGTCAGCAACTCTCTTCTTTTTATTTTTCTAAACAATCAATTTATAATAATAATAAATAATAATAATAAGGTAGGTGATAACTTATCCCCTTATAATAATAATAATAATAATAATAATAATAATAATAATGTTTTGAACGTCTAAATCGGCCACTTAACTCTTAATCCGGTCGGCGTAATAATTTATGTCACGGCTGGAATTTATTGAGATTTTCGCTAACAAGAAATTCCAACTTCTACGTGAGCTGATTTTTTTTGTTTTTTCTTTTTACAAAAAGAGAATTTATTGGATTTGTTAAAAGGCTTGCAATTTCTCATGTTACATGAGAAATGCAAGTTTTCTTATAGAGAAAGAAAGAGATGAGGCCCACCTTAAAAAAAAAAATAAAAAATAGAAAAGTGATTGGCACGGACATCGAAGTGAGAGTGGTAGGAGAGGAGATTTCTCATGCAACATGAGAAATCTTTTTCCCTTTGTTAAAATACGAATTAAACTTAGGGGTTTGATTTTCTTATGTTGAATGAGAATTCAATTCTCATGTTGTAGAGATAAAAAACATGTGGGACCCATGTGTTAGAAAAAATTATATGTTGGACCCAGGTTAACACGGGAATCAAAGGATGTGTAGGAAAATTTGAATTCTCATGTTGAATGAAAATTATAAAACCCTTAAACTTATTGTTAAAATACGAATTAATCTTCTCATTTTGCTCGCTGCACCTTTCGATGTTCTCTCTGTCTCATTTAATTTCTTTTAAAGCTCTACCCGCGTGGCATAGGATTGATTGAGAATGGAATTTCCCTTTTGACCATCTCAGTATAACCATTATGGTAGTGGATAATTTTTTTCTTTTTCTTTTTGTAATATGTCCCCATTATCTTATAAAAGTACTAAAGAAAAAAATGTTTGGTACAGTTTTAATGCTTGCTTTGTTTGAAGCTAGCTATATAAGGTGTGATGATAATGTTTGCTGCATGCAGAATGTGGCAGTGACGGGTGAAGTTCAGGGCAAGGAACAATTGGAAGAGAGAGTTGGAGCTTCTGTTGATACAAATCAGGAAGTGAGTGGGCTTGATTTACCAACACAGGGAAATAAAGGTCTCTTTTTTTTACAAAAATTAAATAAAATAACTTGGGTGTTGCTTTCTAAATTTCGGTGTCAAGTTTCTTATGCTTTGAATTGTATTTGTTACTAGCAAATTATATTTGTTTTCAAGGACTACACACAATAGTAACTGTGAGCTGAGAGTAGTGTGGCTTAATTTGTTGATGAAATTAACTGTGGAGTATCTCTTGCGTGTTTTATCAAGGTTTCTGTGTTTGTGCTTGCAAGCATTTTTGGAATATATATGCTATTTATTCATTATTCATTATCTAAAAAATGATATTATTATTTTTTTTTTTTTTGTGTATTACCCTAGAAATATACTTTAGCCCCTCTCTATCTCTATATCTCTGTGGAAGAGAGGATATTTGGAATTTGATTGTTTGGCTTATTAAGTATTAGGGAAAATACTTTCTTATGTTGATGGAGAAAGCATTTCTTATGTCACTCATACATCGATATGTGTGTATTGTTTTTTTATTTTTATTTTAATTTCTTAATGGTGGGACCTACCTTAAACATGTTTGTGTAGGAGAATTCATTTTCTCATGTGAAAGGAGAAAAACAAAACCCTAAATATTAACAGTGAATTGGCACAAAAAGTGTTTCCTTATTTTGTTTGTATGTTACCTTTGCCACTGTTGTTACTGCCAATTGGATGTAAGTAGTTAGGGTTTTTTTTTTACTACCCACCCTCTACATGACTCTTGTCAATGAAAATCAGTTTAAGCTTTAGACAAATATTATTTCTATGGTTTTTAAATGAATAGGTCTTTCATTATTCAAATGAAGCTTCAATGATACAAGTTACAACACAGTTCAAGAATTGCTATGCCTACACCTATTTTATTGTTATTTACATTCTTTTTTTCCATATGTGTACCATGCTTTGTAATTGGCTGCCATAGCATTGAATAATTGGTTCAGATCTTCCTGCTCAAAGCCTCCATAGTAATTCACGTCGTTCAAATACCTTTTCCCAAAGAGATGTTGCAAGTCAATTGTTTGCTTTTCAGAATAATAATTGAGCCAATATTTATTTATTATTAATATAAGTCAAAATCGTTATAGTAATTGAGAAACTGCAATTTATATTAATTAATTACCTGGGGGAAGCAGAAACCATGATGAGCTTGGTACAGTTTGGTACAGTTTATATATTACAAGTTAAACTTATCCATCAATTACTTATCATTTCTTTATATATTACCAGTTTATCTTCTATGCTTAAATGGCTAAAATTTATTATTATTTATTATTTGGTGCAAGTGGAGACATTTCGTCATATATTCTCTTGTGCACATTTACATCGACCGTTCGTTGAGATTTTTTACTTCAAGTCTTTCAGGTAACAAACTTTGAATGAAAAATAATTGCATGCTTGTATTGTGATGACATAACTGTATATATGTAATGCCCCATGTTGCATAGTATGTCCCCTTTATCTTGTGTATTTTCCCATTCTTTGTTTGCTCCCCCTAAATGCATGTCCCCATTTTCTGGTGTACTACCCTCATTCTCTGGTTGCTTGCTGGAATTGTTGAATGCATGTGTTTCTTTGCCACTTACTGCAGTAAGTTGTATCATATATGTGGCAATTACTCGGTGTTTGCTGGTATTTGAATTCCACACTTACTATATAATCAGGAGTATGGAAGACGATCACGATAAGAGTTGGATGTACAATCGTCTAACTGATAGAAGACAACTAACGAGAGCATTCATGGAGGGTTTGGAAACGTTCATCCAATTTGCTCTGGAGCAAATAGGTACATCAAGTGACGTTATCAGTTGTCCGTGTGTGAAATGTAAGTGTTTTAAATTTCGAACGCCAGACCAAGTCAGGGAGCATCTGTGTAGATGGGGCTTTATGCCGGACTATGAATGTTGGCATATCCATGGGGAAATTCGGCAGGCACATGCTATTCGAGGAGGTTATTATGGGGAAACTAGTCAGCGACACAACCTCAACGAATATGAAGAGTTGGTTATGGATGCTGCGGGACCGTCGATTGGGCAAAATTTTGAACCCGATACTCATGCCGAACCATCCTACATGGCAGAGGATCCTAATTTGGAAGCGGAAAGGTTTTACAACATGCTTCAAGATGCTCAACATCCATTATGGGAAGGTTGTGAACATATTCAACATACTGAACATACAACGCTATCAGCAACCCTAGCAACACTACAGTTGAAGAGTGATCACCTTATGAGTGAGTCTGCTTACAACGGCTGGATGCAGCTCATGCGTCAGGTTGTTCCTAAAGACAATAATTTGGCGAAGGATTTTTACCAAGCAAAGAGAAAGGTCAAAGAGCTTGGGCCAGGATGCACAAAGATTCATTGCTGCCCCAAAGGATGTATGCTATATTACGGTGATTACATTAAGCGCACCAAATGTGAGTTTTGTAAGCATGACAGGTACAAAGTTGTGAGGGACGGAAGGAAAACGACACGTGAAGCCTATAACAAGATGTGGTACTTTCTTCTTGTGCCTAGACTTAAAAGATTGTATGCTTCTGAACAAATAGCTTGTCACATGAGATGGCACCGTGAGCTTTGTAGGGATGAAAAATATGTGACGCATCCATCAGATGCTGAAGCTTGGGTTCATTTTGATGAGGCGAATCCTTCGTTTGCAGCGGAGCCACGTAATGTGCGTATTGGTTTATGTTCGGATGGGTTTGCTCCTTTCAATCAGACGGGTAGGAATTATTCTTGTTGGCCCGTCATTGTGACGCCGTATAATCTCCCACCTTGGATGTGCATGAGAAGAGAGTTCTTGTTTTTAACAGCATTAATTCATGGACCTTCCAATCCAAAAAAGAAGATAGATGTATACCTCAGGCCTCTGATAAACGAGTTGAACATGTTTTGGAGTGCAGGGGTTCTGACATATGATGTATCGTTGAGGCAGAATTTCACCATGCGGGCTGCCTTGATGTGGACAATAAATGATTTTCCAGCATATGGGATGTTGAGCGGATGGCAGACATCGGGGAAGCTTGCATGTCCGGTATGTTTGGAACAAAATAAGGGTTTTAGCTTGCAACACAGTCACAAGGTGTGTTGGTTTGACACTCATCGATGATTCCTGCCACTCGATCACCCGTATATGGGAAATAAAAAAGACTTCAGGAGGGGTGTTGTCAAAAGGGCAGACGCACCTCGTCGGTTAAGTGGCCAAGAAATATGGGAGAGGGTGAAGTATATTCCAAGTGTTGAAGAGAGGCCTGCTTCCGACGACCCTGAGGGATATGGCGATGATCACCATTGGAACAAACGTAGCATCTTTTGGGATCTACCATATTGGAAAGATCAATTGTTAAGACACAACCTTGATGTTATGCATATAGAGAGGAATGTGTTTTGCAATATTTTATATACTGTGATGGACACCAAGGGAAAGACGAAGGACACTGTAAATGCAAGACTGGACATAAAGGCGATTTGCAGAAGACCTGCTTTAAATTTGGTTGAAACTCCAACCGGGCGGACTTTGAAACCTCAAGCGTCGTACACACTGAATAAAGTCCAGAATTTAGAAATGTTGCGCTGGGTTAAGGATCTTAAATTCCCAGATGGTTATGCATCCAAGTGGTCGGGGTGTGTTGACATGAACGGGGCAAAGTTATTCGGTATGAAGAGTCATGATTGTCATGTTTTCTTTCAGAGATTGTTGCCGTGGGCTTTCAAAGCATTACCGAAGAAAGTGTGGAGTTTATTGACCGAACTTTCAATGTTCTTTAGAGAAATTTGTGCTTCTCAACTTAATTCTGAAAGGTTACGACATCTGGAGTCGAGCGTGCCAACACTACTATGCAAATTAGAGATTGTGTTTCCTCCTACATTTTTTGACTCAATGGAACATTTGCCTGTTCACTTGGCTTATGAAGCAAGGGTTGGAGGTCTACAACAATATAGATGGATGTATCTATTTGAGAGGTTAGTTTTTTATCCGAACATTTAATTGCATTACACGATGCTACAAATTATAAGAACCCTAATATCTATTCATAGGTTTGTACGCACACTGAAGATGAAGGTCAGTAACTTGAGGCATGTTGAAGGATCTATCGCCGAAGCGTATCTCGTTGAAGAGACTGGTAAAATTGCATCGTACTATTATCCTCCTGAATTTATATCAACTTCGAGAGGAGTCCCTCGAAATGATGATGGCGGTGATACGAGTGGTCAGATATCACTATTTAATTATCTAGGACGATTCGTGGGAAGGCAAAGGGCATCGATTCTAGAGTGACGGGATAAGAACGTTACAGAGTGGTACATTCTAAACAACTCACCAGAGGCCGCTCCGTACATAGAGTAAGATTTCATTTTTGAACTTAGAGATGATGTTTCCATTACGCGACTATATTTTTTTTATGGGTAGTTATCCTCATGAGTTTTATAATATTTTTTCCTTACAGAAACTTTTCCAAATGGACAGGTTCGAATAATCCTTTATGGTCAGATTTCAAAGTTGATCAACACGTTACGTCTGAATTTCCTCAATGGTTTGAGGAGTACTTCATACAAAACCAATCGGCTGTCCATGATGTTGCATATATTTTATCAAGTGGAGCTGCAAGATTTATCACCCGATTCAAAAAATATATAGTCAACAGATATAGATTTGCAACTGTAGAAGCAAATCAAAATATGTCATGTTGTAATTATGGTGTATGTTGTCGAGGTGGGTAAGTCGACAGTGCTGAGGGCGATTACTACGGGAAGTTAGTTGATATCATTCTTTTGGATTACAAGTTGGGCAAATCGGTTACTCTCTTTAAATGCGATTGGTTTGATAACACCTCACGTGGGACAAAAGTTGACCAGTATGGAAATGTTGAGGTCAATTGGTCAAGGAGTTATGCACTTGGCTACGACCCATTTATACTTGCTCAACAAGCAGAACAAGTTATTTACACATTATACCCTACTTCCCAACAAGGGTGGAGAGGAGTTATCAAAACCAAAGCCCAGAATATTATCCCTAAGTGGATGGAGTCAGACTCAAATGATGTGACTGATCCATTTCAGGATGATGGGGAACATGAACTGCCTGTAAATGTTGCAGAGGATGATGTGCCAAGCAATCTTTTTGATTCCGCTGGAGAGTTAGAGTTAAAATGTAACACCCCGTATATATCCGGTAGTGTTATCATTACATCGTATTAAGCGGTGCTTAATTAAAAATGCGGAATATTCTTTTTCTTATCAATTATGACGTCATTATCAATTACCATATTGATTACTTAATCAATTTCATAAAATATCGCCTGTATGTAAATTGCAATAAGACATCTACTGAAATACCTCAATATATAGATAGAGTGTGTATCTAAATCACGGCATTACATCAAGTAATCCGGACAATATCCTGATACATTATTACAACTCCAACAGACTCAAGACATAATCAAGACATAACAATACTATGTGTCATGGACAATCCCCATGCTCACCAAATAAACATAGTAAACAACAAGTCTCAACATAAAACTCCATAAACATAAACTGAAGCTATAAGCATAAGCAGCATGCAAATCCAGCATCCAACATGGCAGCATAATATAACAGCAATCTAACTCAGCTCCGGCCTCCTGCCGCATGAGGTCTCAACATTACCTGACCCTGAAATAAGCATTCCCCAAACGTGGGGTGATATCTATAAACTAGAAATCTCAGTAAGACAAGGGGTCCTCAAGGATCTTCCACCCCAAACTCACTTACATGTGCAATATAAGTTCTAAAAGCATTTATATCATTATCAGTTCCAAAACTATGTAGTGCAACAGATATCTATGGCATGTGTGTATATCACTATCTACTGGCCAGAGAAATGTAGGAATACGTCTATTCCCTACATGTAGTACAAGGAACACCGCTTGCACCTCACCCACAGCCTCACCCTCTTGTATGTTCTACATACTCAGGCTTACCGTATAGGTGGAACACCTCCATGCATATCAACAAGGCACTAACATATAATAGCTCAACAGCATTTCCAAAACATCAAAAGCATGTAACACAACATGCATATACCATATCCCCATAGGACATGGTGGAACCATAACATGGCTAAACCGAGGACACGAAAGCTTACCTCTAAGCTAGCTATCCAATGCCACAAGCTCAAAGTCCAATCACAGTAGATCACAATCTGATATGGACCAATTATAATCAATAAACATGTACCACATGCATACAAATTAAAGACAACGCCTTTTCATTACGTTTTAATGTCTTAAAGCTTCTAACGAAGCCACAAGCCCTTAATCACATGATTCTGACTTAGTCCAATAAATACAGAAGTTCAACTTCATCAAACTAGGGTCCACAAACCCCCAATAGCCTGCTGTACACACAGCACAACTACTGTTCCACGAAATCCCAGAATATCTGGATATTCCTCGGGACCATATCCGGATATGCAGTATCCGGGTATCTTATTGTCCATATCCGGATATGCAATATCCGAATATACAGATTCACATATCCGAATTTCCAATATCCGGATATCCCAAAACCACATATCCGGATATCCAATATCCGGATATCTGTTCGACAAATATCCGGATATTTCACGAAAGAATGTAGTTTCTGCATTTTTGTGAAGATATCCCTTAAAGGTTCCCTTTTTACCGATTTTAAACATCTAATCATGCATTTCTAGGCGTGTTCATCATTACCCAACAACAAGTTATCATCTTTTAGTCATTAGATGCATCAAGGTACCATTTTTAAGCCTTAAAACTCAAGATAAAGGTTGGTGATCATACCACAGCTCAAAACAGCAAAGGGAGATGCTCTTGGAGCTCAATACAGCTCCTCACAGTTCTGACTAAGAAGGTGCACGAAAATGCACAAGAAGGTAGGTCTTTCACTCAACAAGAAGGCATCTTGGAGCATCAAAATGCCAACAAAAGGTCACACCCCTCAAGAACAGCAAACACAGCTCTTCAAACTCCCTCACACAGGTTCTCTAACTCAGAAACAACACCACAATGCAGTCCCAAGGCCAACCCTCACCCTCACCAAGTGTTTAAATGGAAGAACAAGCCTCAAAGGTGAAAGCTTGCTCAAGAAATGGAAGGGAAGGAAATGGAACAGTGTAGGAGGTCAGCCACCAAGGAGAACTCACGCTGGTTTTCTGTTACCTAGGGTTATGAGCCCTTAAATAAGTATAAATAGCCAACTCACACTTAAACACACAGTATTAGCTTTAATTGCTACGCTTAGCATTTTAATCCCAAACTTTGAATTCTGAAATTACAAAATTTTCTAAGATTTATCATATTTTTCTTATAATTTTCTGAGCACCTTTTCGGTACGCGCTTTTCAAAGCCAGTACCGATTTCTAGCACCAGTTCTCATTATTTGGACTTGAAACTCATTTTACAAGTCCTACATATTATTCTAGTAATTATCATGCATTTACTTTAATTTTCCGGGATACTTTTTCGGCACGCATTTATACCGACTAGCAGAACCGGTGTCTGCACTTTTCTTCCGAAAAGCGGCTTTCAGCATTCTTAATCACTTATTATGATTATTAAGCCTCATAAATAATTATTAGGGTCAATTATGGAATCATTTCCTATTTTCACATAATTAGCTAATTAAATACCTTAATTAACGGTGCGGGTTCTTACATAATTCCTGTTATATTGGACAATGAGGAATCAGACGATGACAAACAAGATATTTATTCAGATAGTGAGCTTGAATTCGATGATTATGAGAGTTCAGAGGAAGGTGGGCAAGAAGAATTCGAAGAACAGGAATCGTCCGATTGATTTCAGTTATTCTTTCTTTAAGCTTATCTGTTGTACTAAATAAATAATTTTTATTCACAGGCCACATGTTATATGTATTATACAATTATGTTTTACATTTTTTATCTTTTAGGATCTCTGTATGGTGTATGCATCCATTAGTGACAAATGGATGGCCATAGTGGTAGACATCGTATTGCATACTTATTATATTTATATATATTTTTGCATTATGTTTATAAGTTTTCACAGATGGTTTATGCGGATGGGCGTACTGGTAGTGGTGGTAATGTTGGTAGAGGTCGAGTTA